TTCCCAACACATGAAATCTTGACATAAGATAATGGCATTTTCAATCAACAAACCACGTGATGAATCATCGGATGAATTTTGTGCAATTTAGAAACACATTTAGTTATAGTTATAATCCAAAAAGATCCTTCGGTCCTAAATTAACCAAAGATCCAAGCATTTAGTTATAGTTATAATCTAAAAATATCCTTCGGTCTAGAGTAATTGGTCCTAAGTTCACCGAAATCCAAGAACAAAAAATGTGACACACAAACTCCATCCGCACTAAAACAATTCAGCCATCAAAACAAAATTTCTCTCATGAGCAGGAACTATTTAATCACTTTGATTGTAAATTGGAGGTTCGAACCATATCTGTAATGAAAAAAATTTGAAAGAGATATCAGAATACCTTTTTAGTTTAGTCGAATCTGTATAGCTGTTAATTTTTTATACATGCTCTTTAGACTTCCCTCCTAGTAATAAGATAGATTATGTCACGGTAACGTTATCGTTGCGACAGGAAAAAAAAGAGAGTAAGGAATTGTTTGGACCTCTTTTTAATGCTTAGGGGCTAAATACAAACCTAGCAGTGCTAAAGACAAAAATACCTCTCAACAATTACTTACTATTTGGAACAAGAGTGCAAACCTGAAGGACTTAATTGACAATATGTACATTTTTAGCATAGCTCCTCCCTTCTCCTTTTGATATGTGGCGCAATGTGAGTTAAGAGGGTTGTATTTTTATCTATTTGGTAGTTATTGGGACACACTTCTAAGAAAAGTTTCTCATGAGTTTGTTTGGATTGAGCATTATTTATCCAGTTTTATTTGTTTATATCATTATTACAATTTCCAATACACTTTTTTATCTTTCCAATTACCTTTTTATCTCACATACATCACATCACAAAAAGTGCTACAGTAAAAATATCCCAAATAATCTCAAATAACTTACATTATCTCATGAAAAAATTGGTTATAAATTACAAACATTCAAGGAAAAACTAGGGCAAGTGACATAAAATTTTGAATCAAAAGCAGAGTTTGACGGTTGAATCAATAATCTCACCATTATGAATAGGCAAGTAATATAAGATTTACTGCAAGTTCCAAATTTCTCCAATAAAAAAAAAAGGAAAATAAACTTGAAGATATTGAAAGGAATTAGAGAAAAATGCAGTTTTGGTACCAAACTATGACGCATGAGTGGTTTTAGTCCCCAAATTTTAAACGAAAACAAATGTGGTACCCGATCTTTCAAATTTTGAGCACATTAAGTACCCTTGACGATTTTTTCTCAAATTGCTACCGGAAAAAATCATGTGACAGTCACATGTCCGGCCACAATTGTATAAAAAAACGGCCAAAAAAATGTCAAATGCCATTCTAATACTAAATATTAAATTTAAGGACTAATAGCGTAATAAACAAAAAATCCCAAGGACCCAAGGACTAAATAACATCATGAGTCAATTAAAAAATAAAAGAAGAAAACAACATCACATAGTATCTATTTCGTTCCTCTTGCTTCGCTTTCAAATAAAAAACCCAAGAACCGAACTTCAACAAAAATTCAAGTTGGCTCCAAAAATTCGAAAAAACTTGGCAAATTTTGGGGAGCATCAAACAATTGTGAACCGATGTGTCAATCAGAAGCGAAGAATTGAATAATGAGCCACCCCCAAATGATGGTAAGTAAATACAGCTGTCCTCGTGTAATTTTTACAGCAATATTGAGTTTAGGGTGAAATTAGAAGTAACAAAATATCATTTATCATCTGAAAAAACTAATCTTTGGGAGTGTTAAAGCAAATGGACAATGGATTCTCCTAGAAATTACAAAAATAGTTTTAATCCAGAGTATAATCTACTGTATATCCCATTTTTATGTTTCAATATTTGTTAGTTGTAGCTAAAATATCAAATTTTTTTTGCATTGCAATCGGCATTTTATAAGTGGTTTTGTTGGAGTATTAAACCCTTAGTATTAATTTGAATGTTGATCAATATGTCTTAAATTTCTTACATACATAATAGTGATATGTGCTCTCGTTTAACTGTTTGAACTATTCTTCTTAAAATATAGGAAATGGTAGCACTAAAATCACCATGAGATGCTATATTTGGGGAAAATGTATAAATGGGCCTGATACACATTATGAAGGAGGGCAAATATGTGTGTTTGATTATGTAGAAGTGACTGGGATTAGTTTGTTTGAGATGGATAGAATGCTTGAAAATGAAGCAAGGGTCTACGGCGATAAAAGGTACCATATTCTTGTAGAAGAGTATGGATTTCGCAGGCTTTGGCATGATAAGGAATTATATGCTTATTGTGCAGATTATCTAGATTATGGTAGGCGTGTTGACTTGTACATTGAGGTTTCTTTTGCTGAAATTTTGAGGTTACAAATGGGGTATGATTATGAGGAGGATGATCATGATGATGATTATGTTTTAGAGGGAGGTATAAATGGTGAATCTGAAGAACACAATGGTTGCAATTCAGATGCTAGCTCAGGGGTATTTTCTGGTAAGGACTCGGACTATGAGATGGAGGAAGAGGATGATGATGATTATGAAGATAATGTAGATCAGAATGTAGAATGGTTGGGGATTGAGAATCAAGTAGAAGAGGAAAGAAAAATGATTGCTAAAGGCAAAATGATTGCTGCAGCTCAGAGGGATATAGGAAGTGATTCTGAGAGTGATGTTGATAATTCTGATGTAGATGCTGCGCCAGATTCTGAATCTGATTTTGAAAGTCTACATGGAAGTGGTGATGAACAATGTAGGAAACAACCAATGTTTAATCCCAAGGACATGCATAATCCTAAAATTAAGCTTAAACAATATTTTAGCAACTTCAAGGAGTTTAAGGAAGCGGTCAGAACCTGGAATATAAAGAGAGGAAGGCCATTTAAGTTTGTTAAACATGACAAAGTTAAAGTGACGGCCAAGTGTCCTAGAGAAGGTTGTGATTGGTACATCTATGCTAGAAAGTTGAGTGGGAAGGCAGTGTGCAAGTTAGAACCTTTCAAAAGAAACACAAGTGTGGGTTCTCTTACCATAATGAAAGTGTAAGATCAAGTTGGATGGCAAAAAATTACTGTGAGACAGTTAGAGAAAATCCGAGGCTAGATCTTAAGAGCTTTACAAATAAGGTAATGAAGGAAAATAAATGTTTTTTAAGTAAGTATCAAGGCTATAGAGCAAAAAGAGCTGCCACAAAAATTGTGCAAGGGGATGAGACTGATCACTATAAGAAACTGCCTGATTATATCAATGAAATAAAGAGGAGTAACCTTGGAACTACTGTGATTATGAAAGTAGTAGATGGGTATTGTGATGCTGTCACAAGACAACAAAGTTTCAAAGATTGTACATGTGTTTTGTTGGGGTTAAATAAGGATTCTTAGCTGCTTGTAGACATATTTTTGGCTTGGATGGGACCTTCTTAAAGGGTCCAGCAGGAGGGTATTGCTAACTGCTGTGGGAGTTGATCCTAACAATGGATTTTATCCCATTGTTTATGCTGCAACTGAGGGGGAAACCAAAGATTCGTGGATGTGGTTTCTAACATTGTTGAGAGAGGATCTTCAAATGGAGAGAGACTATGAATGGACTATAATGAGTAACAAACAAAAAGGCATCATACAAGCATGTGAGGCAGTGTTTCCAAATTGTGACCATAGATTTTGTGTTAAACATCTACACAGTAATTTTTCAGTTGCTGGATTTAAAGGAACAACTTTGAGACGTGCACTATGGAAAACTGCTAAGGCAACCACACTTGCAAAATTCAGTACAAAAACGAGGGAACTAGCAGAAATTGACATTGAGGCTGCGAAATGGTTGGGTACAAAGCAGCCTATTGAGTGGACTAGATCACACTTTAGAACCTTTTCCAAGTGTGACATGTTGCTAAACAACATATGTGAGTCATTTAACAGCAAGATTCTACATGCTAGAGAGGAGCATATTGTGGGGCTGATGGAATCTTTGAGGCACTACGTAATGACCAGATTGCAACAAAACAGAGATATGGCTAAGAGCAAGTAGAAGAAATTGAAATTCTGCCCAAGAATCATGAAAAGAGTGAAGAAAAACATGGATATGGCTACTCAATGTTTTCCTATTAAATCAAATGATGATGATTATGAGGTTGGCTGCCCTTATGTAGAAACATATTGTGTTAATATTAAAGAGGGAATGTGCACTGCATCATATTTGGTACCTTATGTAGCATCACCGTGTTACTGGAAAGTCATCTTTTGTTGGATTAACCAGTTGGATTGGACATATATTTTGTAGTGGTTTTGACTCTGTGCAATTGTTTGTAAGATTTTAGTTCACTGGAACTTGATGAGTTTACTTATTGTGGTAACTTTGTGAGTCCTACTGGAGTTGAACTTGCTGCAGAAATTGCTGTTGATTTTCCAGAAAAAAAGGTTGTTTTGGTGCATGATGGACCTAGGTTGCTAGAGTTTATTGGACCCAAAGCTTCCAACAAGACTTTAGGCTGGTTGAAAAACAAAAATGTAGAAGTGAAATTGCAGCAATCTGTTCAGTTGGTTAGAAGTTCAGATGGAAGCAACGCTTACATCTCTTCATCTCGCGAAACAATTAAAGCAGGCTGCCATTTTCTGTGCACTGGAAAACCAGTGGGTTGCGTTTTCTCTTAGTATAAAACCATGTTAAAACAGGGCATGGTCTTTTGTTTAGCATAATCACATAATATCCATGCATGAACAAGGCATGTACTGGACTAATTCCAGTACATAATCAAGTCACAAATGAGCTCCAATTCCAGTACATTAATCCCAAAGAATTCTTTTTTTTTCCCATCCATAATGCAGAAATTAATCTGCTGAATAACATTAAAAACATCCATAAAAAGGGTCCAATAACATTCATTTCATAACAACAAAATTAAAGGGGTAAATCCAAAAAAGTGCCAAATTATAATACTACTAATAGAACCTCAGACTTAGTAAATCCAAGAAACAAAACAACCTAAGCAGTGAGAACAACAGCCCCACCAGCTTCCTTAATCTTCTTATCACCAGTCTTGGAAACCAGCTTAACCTTAATAACAACAGGTTGATTTTCAGGCAAAACTCCCTTACCCATAACCTTAAAATATCCGAACTGGGTGACATCAATCAAAGGGATGTTGTCCTTGGTAGCTTTGTCCTTAGCTTCTTGAGGAACCAAAGACCAGAGCTTATCGATGTTGACAATGAGGCAATGGAATTTGTTACGGAGCTTGTGGAAGTACCTCATACCAACTTTCCCAAAGTAACCCGAATGGTACTTGTCAAAGAGGTTCTTGGGTTTTCTATTGGAGAGCGAAGCAAGAGGAACGGAACAGATACTATGTGATGTTGTCTTCTTCTTTTATTTTTTAATTGACTCATGATGTTATTTAGTCCTTGGGTCCTTGGATTTTTTATTTATTATGCTATTAGTCCTTAAATTTAATATTTAGTATTAGAATGGCATTTGACATTTTTTTGGCCGTTTTTTATACAATTGTGGCCGGACATGTGACTGTCACATGACTTTTTCCGGTAGCAATTTGAGAAAAAATCGTCAAAGGTACTTAATGTGCTCAAAATTTAAAAGATCGGGTACCACATTTGTTTTCGTCCAAAATTTGGGGACTAAAACTGCTCCTGCGTCATAGTTTAGGCACTAAAACTGCATTTTTCTCAAGGAATTAAAATTTAGGGCGATCTACACTTGATAAGTAGAGGTATCCGTGTTGGCAAAAGTTGACATTGACAGGTTACTTTAGTCACTCCCCTTACATTAAGAAAGACTCCAAAAAATGCAACAAAGACAAGAAAAGGTTACGAGCAACTGATTTTAGGATACAGCAAAATTGCAAACGGAAGAAGATTTATTGACTTTCTGGTTCATTTCATTGAACTATCTAGTTTCTACCCCACATCTACAGTCCATTGTTGTACCGCATAGTGCATACTGCGTAAAAAGAAGGGAAAATCGCCAATTTAGTCCCTAAATTTTTTTTTCTGTCGATTTAGTCCCTATACATTATTTATAGCCAATTTAATCCTTAAACTTATATTTCGATTCCAATCAAGGAGTTTAGCGGCGGCGCCACCGCATAATTTCCATCGGCTTCCCAATCGAGCAACCCATAAGGGGTATTTTAGGGACTTCCATTGTGGAGCCTTAACCAAAATTAAAAAAAAGGTGCAATCTTGCCGTTTCAGTGGGTAATGGTGGTTACTCCACCAATCTCCCACCGGACGGGTGACACAACATCCTTTTGCCTCTCATTTTCCTTTTTTGGCAGCTATGGTTTTAACACAGGCTATGAAGAATTTTCCGACTTATATTCCTCATCTGGAAGCACCCACCTTGAGAACCCACTCCATTTCTTTATTCGCTTCATCTCCTAATGCAGCAGTTTCCTCCAAATTCTGTTCAGCTTCCCTCCTCAAAACTGAGAGAGAGGACAATTTTCTTGATGGGGTAAACATCGCCCCTACTGCTAACGCAGCTTTACCAACCATGGCTGACATCATTGAAGCATCAAAAAGGCAAAATCTGGACCTCCACCTCCAAAGTTTAGGACCCTTTTTTAGAATAACTGCTAAAACCTTGAAAACTGGCAATGAGCTTGGCAGGGCAGAAGGACTTGTGAGGCTGTGGCTAGGAGGAAAGATTCTTCATTTGGACTCCATCAAACTGCGCCGGGAGACCTTGGAGATGGAAAAATCTATTTTTGGGATTGGTTTGTATATCGGAGCAGTTGCAATTAGATATGGATACAATTGTGGCTGTAAGAAAGCTGAGTTACTTGCCATCAATGACACTGATTTATATCATTCACCTCTCGTCCTCGTGAGGAGTCCATTGCTGCCGCCAATCCTTCATTCACTGACGGAGTTGCCACCAAGGACATCCACATCGACCCCATGACCTCTCTCGCCCTTCGAATCTTTCTTCCTGACTCCTGCCACGATTCCGCTTTCAAGTCCCAATCCATCAAATCAAGGGCCAAGGATATTCGACCATTCGATTATTCTGATCCCAAATCCGATCCGAACCATCTTCTTCTCCGGCGGAACAGCTATGGCTCTGCCAATGGAGTCACTACCACGACGCCGATCGTGACCATCCGGAATCAGAATCAACGGAGAAATAACTATGGCAGTGACGATGTCAATTTGAAATCGAATAGTGGAGTTTACGGAGGATATAATCCTAGAAACAAAAATTGGTGGAGTAACCTGTCCGGCGGGAGATTGGTGGAGTAACCACCATTACCCACTGAAACGGCAAGATTGCACATTTTTTTTTAATTTTGGTAAGGCTCCACAATGGAAGTCCCTAAAATACCCTTATGGATTGCTCAATTGGGAAGCCGATGGAAATTATGCGGTGGCGCCGCCGCTAAGCTCCTTGATTGGAACCGAAATATAAGTTTAAGGATTAAATTGGCTATAAATAATATATAGGAACTAAATCGACAGAAAAAAAAATTTAGGAATTAAATTTACGATTTTCCCTAAAAAAAAAAGGTAAAAATCGCCCTCTTTTTCTTCTTCTACGTCCACTCCTAAGTGGACTTGCGAAGTTTTTTTGGGCATGAAATGAGAAACATTGCCTCTTCTTCTTCTTTTTCTGCTTCCACTCCTAAATGGACTTATGATGTTTTCTTGAGCTTTAGGGGTGAAGATGTCCGAAAGAGCTTTGTCGACTTCCTCTACAGTGCTCTGCAAAAAAAGGGAATTTACACCTTCAAAGACGATGAAAAGCTTGAAAGAGGAAGATCCATTTCACCTGCACTACTCCAAGCTATTAAAGAGTCAAGAATTGCAGTTATAATATTCTCCGAAAACTATGCCACTTCTTCATGGTGTTTAGATGAGCTCGCAGAGATCATTGACTGCAAGCATGTGTTGGGACAAACTGTTCTGCCGGTTTTTTATTACGTGGATCCATCTGTGGTACGGAGACAGAAAGGCAGCTTTGATCGAGCTTTTGTCAAACATGAAGACGAAATAGAGGACAAGGAAAGGATTCAAAAGTGGAGAGCACCTCTTACTGAAGCTGCTTCTATCTCTGGCTGGGATGTTCCCAACACTGCTGATGGGTAAATTCACCGACTCTGATCTTTAAAAATATGAACTAGCATCCCTTCTTTTTGGGCAAATAGTTGGCTATTCGGTTAAGTATCATTTTTGAATTGTAATAAGCTGTCAGCTTCTCTCTCTCTCTCTCTCTGTATTTGTTTTCCTAGGGGTTATCGATCCTTTTCTTGGTGCGCTACTCTAACAATTTGGCGGTTTTAGGAGGATTGTTAATGATCTTGGCTAAAAGAAATTAGATCTGAGGTTGACTTGACCAATCCCATGACACCAATCCTGATACTGAAGTACCAATCAAGCACCTCTGAGGTTATTTGTAATTTATTTCTTGACTGTTTTCCTCTAGTACTCAGTTTTATTGGAGGGGCTGGGGAAGGGCAGAAAAAAGGATTCTGAACCATTAACCGATAAATAACTACATCGATTTCTCTATCAAAGCAATGTGTTATTCAAAGAAAGACAAAATTATACAGAGAATTCAGTAATAAAGAATAGTGACGACCACACAAAAATGTTTGGTAGCTTGTCTTTTCAATTGTTGCTAGATCAATTTTGAGGGTTCAACTTGAAATTGATCACCTGTTTTCATGCAAACTACTGGTAATGGAGCTCAGAGGCTTGGATGATTGTTTATGGTTTTCGTCATAAGTATAATCTATTACCCTGAATCGTCTAACGCCTGAAATTTTGCCAAAGCTGTGTTTTTTTTGGTTGAATTTTTGGTACATGCATTAGCACGTTTTCAGAGAACGTACTCTATACTTGCTTGTCACACCTGAATTTCTGCAGCACGTCATTTTGTATTTTGTGGGATGTGTGTCAATAAATTGCCATCAGTTTAACATTCTCAATGAACGGAGCAAAATTATTGTTTTATTATCATTTTTTTAAAAAAATTAAATGTATCCCTTTTTTAGCTTGCATTTTAAGCTGACATGTTGTTCCAAGCTTTAGCTTTGCATATAATCAAAATTAGATATGTATCATGTGAATATATTCATGCTTTCACTCCGGCAGAATTTGGCTAGTGTTCTTTTCAACTTTTCAGTTTAGTTTTAGAAGGATCCTTCCCATTGATTCTTGAGTTTATTCTAAGAAGGATCCTTCATTACATGCTTGCAATCCAATTATTGACTTCATGTCATTTCTTTCTGATTAGATGCGTATAAGATTATGAAACAGAAATGAAGAAATAACAAATTCCGACCTTAACTTTTTCTGTACTTTCATTGATGTCTGCATTCCTATGAGGAGTTGATAGTACACAAAAGAAGCTAAGTAGCAACCAGGTGACTCAAGTCCTGTTATCATATCATGTCAAACTTAGGATTCAAATAAATTGAATCCTTCTCATTTAACTACATGAAATTGTTTTTAAGAACTTAGTAAGTCACCCATAGTGAATAACAAGAGCATATTTGACCACTAAACCAGTCCATAATGAATAAGTCAAAAACTATTGGTTTCTATCAGTACATATATGTTGTCTTTGTGAATGTTTCTTTCCCATGAGTTCTCACTTTTGGAAAGGTTTTATCCATGCTATCATTTCTTCTGCATTTGACATGTTTCCCACACATTTTTTTGATTAGTCTTCCTTTCTGAAATTTCGTCTTGTCACCTCTTCTCATTTGGCAATTGTTTCCTCCCCCACCCCCCAACCCCAAAAAAAAAAAATCAAATCTGTATTTCCTTTGTTGCAGTTCTGTTACTTTAATACCACCCTTAGTAGTCTTTGTCTCGATGATATGTGTCCATATGTTTATCAATTTCCCAAGGAACATAATTTTCTGCTTTCCATGTACTGCTATTTTACTAGTAACATCCTCAATACTTGTGGTTCCGAGGCCAACATATTGTATCAAAAATCCAATATTGAGAACATAGAGGTGAAGACAGACAATGATGTTGTTCAGTACTGCAGCATATATCCCATTGAAGTATCTAACTATCATATTAAGGCATCTGTTTTGTAGAAGCATTTATTAGTGTTTTTTTCAAAATTAGCATTTGTTAGATCTATCTATTTTGAGAATATGGTTAACAAATGCATCTCCTCGTGCATGATTTTTTCTTACCTTTTTTTTTTCTTTTTTCATGGATAGGCATGAGTCTAAATGCATCCAAGAAATTGTTGAATATGTTGTGGCTAAATTGGAGAGAGTTGTCGCAATTGAAGCAAAAAACCAAGTTGGTATTGATTCTCGAGTTCAGAGAGTAAATGCATTGCTGAATTTGGGGTCTGGTAAGGTTCAGTTTATAGGGATTTGGGGAATGAGTGGAATAGGTAAAACAACCATAGCATGGGCTGTTTTTAACCGAATATCCACTCATTTTGAAGGTGCTATCTTTCTCGAAGATGTCAGAAAACAATCAGAAAGTCTGAAAAATTGCAAGAAGAGATTCTTTTAAAAATCCTTTGCTTGAAAGATTTGATAATCAGCAGTGTTCTTGAAGGGTCAAAGATGATTCAGAGAAGACTATGCTGTAAAAAAGTCCTTATTGTTCTTGATGATGTTGACCACCTAAGTCAATTAGATGCTTTAGCTGGAATGCATGAATGGTTCGGTGATGGTAGTAGAATTATCATAACCACAAAAAATAAGCATTTGCTTGTTACACATGGAGTAGATAAAATGCACAAAATGGAGGTGTTGAATGAATATGAAGCTACTCAGCTGTTTAGTTGGCATGCTTTTAAGAAGGACTATCCTGCAAAAGATTATGAGGAGCTTTCGATTGAAATAGTGCATTATGCAGGTTGCCTTCCCTTAGCTCTAAAAGTTTTAGGTAGCTTTCTGTATGGCAGAGAGATGGCTGAATGGAGAAGTGAAGTGGAAAGGTTAAAAAGAATTCCAGAAGATGAAATTATGGAAAAGCTCAAAGTAAGTTTTAATGGACTCAAAGAAGTTGAAAAAGAAATTTTCTTGGATATTGCATGTTTCTTTGAAGGCAAGAAGAAAACTACATCAGAAGAGTACTTGATAGTTTCAATTTCTGTCCTGATATATACATAAATGTTCTCATCCAGAAATCTCTGATAACTCTTTCCAGAGGAAGGATTCTGATGCATTGTTTAATACAAGAAATGGGTTGGAATATTGTTCGCGAAAAGGCTCCAGATGAGCCAGGAAAGCACAGCAGGCTCTGGGTAGCAGAGGAAATTTGTGACGTTTTGGCTAGAGACAAGGTTAGCAATCTTCCACCTCTAAGTTAATTTCATTCCACCTTGAAGAATATTTCAATTATATTTCTTGAATATGTGTTTATGCAATTTCTCCTTTTCTTCTTCTCCTTGTAACCTGTTTCCTGGCAGGCGACAGAAAATATTGTGGGCATGTGGCTGGGCTTGCCTACCCCGCAAGGTGTTGTAATTAAGAATGAAACCTTTGAAAAGATGAAGAAACTAAGGCTACTCAAAATCAATAATGCTTGTGTTTCTTGTTGCCCAAATTGCATACCAAATGAGATACGGTGGCTTAACTGGCATGGATACCCTTCAAAATCCCTTCCAGAGAGTTTCCAACCTGAAAAACTCGTAGGACTCAAGCTGCACTATAGCCGCGTCATACAACTATGGAAGGGGATAAAGGTACCACCTTGAACTCTGATTTATTGTTGTTTCCTGATGAATCTTTGTTGAACCTATATGATGTCTCCCCCCCCTCTTTTTGTGTCATTTTCTTCATTTTGCCAAAAACCTTTGACAGTTGCTGGACAAATTGAAATACATCAACCTGAGCTATTCCCAGAAGTTAATAAGGACGCCAGATTTCACAGGGATACCTAATCTTGAGAGATTGATCCTTGAAGGCTGTTCAAGTCTTACTGAGATACATCCATCAGCTGGGTATCTGAAAAGGCTCCAAAAATTCAATCTGAGGAATTGCACAAATCTTAGGAGCCTTCCAAAAAAAATTATCTTGGAAAGTCTCGAAGTAATGATTCTCTCAGGATGTTCAAAAGTTGGAGAATTTCCAGAAATCTTGGGTACTATGGATCATTTAAAAGTGGTGTATTTGGAAGCTACTGCCATAAAAGAACTACCACCATCAATTGAGCACCTAACAAGCCTTGTTTTATTGAATCTAAGCTACTGTGAAAGTCTCACAAGTCTGCCAAGTGGCCTCTGCAGATTGAAATGTCTTGAAGCTCTTATTCTTTCTGGCTGCTCAAAACTTGACAGGTTACCAGAAGAGCTAGGACATGTACTGAGCTTAGAAGAGCTTTATGTTGATGAAACTGCCATCTCCGAGCCACCATCCTCTATCGTACTTTTGAAAAACCTAAAAACATTGTCTTTCAGAGGATGTAAAGCAATGGCATCTCATAAATGTAGAGCATCCTTGCCCTCTTGGTTGCTGGGTCAAAAAAGTCAAGATTCAACTGGCTTGGTTTTTCCATCTGTTTCAGGATTAAATTCCCTAGCAAAACTAGATCTTAGTGATTGCAATCTGTCAGACAAAGGATTACCTTGCGATTTAGGGAGCTTATCCTCCCTAGTAGAATTAAATCTTGGCAAGAACAACTTTACTAGTATCTCTGCCGCAAGTATCAAGAACCTCAGTCGCCTTCGAATCCTTGAATTAGTTGGCTGCAAGAGACTTGAGATACTTCCAGAGCTTCCACCTTGTATAGAAGAAGTGTATGCAGATAATTGTACATCATTGCAGAGTGCAACTGATTTGACAAAGCATGGGTTGTTACACAGGGTTTCATTCAGTAATTGTTTTAAGCTGCTTCAGGATGAACCAACTTCCAGCATGATATATGCAACTTGGAACCACATGCTAAAGGTATTTTCTTTTTTACAATATACATCCCGGCGCCCAAAAAACATTTTGAGACGGAGGGACTACTAGTTTAGATGTGCTTCACAAACTAAAACTTCTTGTTTTGTGACTGAGAGAGAGGCCTAATTTCTTGCTGTGTAGAAATTTTCACTTATAGGTGGTAGCTTTAGCGTCTGTCTTCCTGGAGGGAGCATTCCATCCTGGTTCACCTACCGGAATTCAGGGCCTTCAATAACAGTTAAACTTCCTCCAAATTGGTACAACGATGAGTTCATGGGATTCGCAGTTTGTGTTGTTTCTGATTTGATAAGGACCCCATTTTTGTTGGAATTACAATGGCGTGAGCTTCTACAGAAAATTCCAGGTTTTCCTGTCCAGTTTACTCTCATAGATAAGGAGATGAATCGCTTTTGCTACGTATTGACCATGGCTTTTGTGGGGGCCGAAAACAACATTGATTCAGAACATACTTGTCTAGGATATCTTCCATTTGATAATATTTTGGATGCGCTTGCGTTTTCAAAGTGGCGTAATGGGTATTTGCCATCTTTGCGGTCAAATAGCGTACGCAGCCCAAATGATTGGACTTGCATTGAGGCGTCTGCTCATGCTGATGTTAAGGAATGTTTGGTTTTCAAAGAATGGGGAATCAGTCTTGTATACGAGAACAATGTTAGGCAGAATTCCGAACTTTTGATGATCCCACAAAGCTCTGAGTTGGGAGAAAGGAGATTCTCATCCAATGTGATTGTGAATGTCAATAGACTGAAATCCAACAGGAGGAGAAGAAGAGGTCTTGAAGCTTTGCCAAGTTTTCCATCAGAATTGACTCAGATTGGGGACCCCTCAGTTTGGAGACCCGTCCGTGTTAACGCTGTCCATCTATATCCCACGGTGGCGACTGATCTTCCCAACCTAATGTCTAATGTACATTGCGTACGTGGAAACAGAGGAGGATGCGATACTATAATGACATCACCACCTGAGTTATTAGTAGTAGGGATAATTTCACAAACCTCCCCTGAGGTTTCTGACACTTGCACTGAGGTGCCTCCAAGTTTTAAAAATTTCACTTAGCTCCCTTGGCAGAGTATTGGGTTCCATTGCTGACATGCAGAGCGCTAAAATGATCTATTGGTCCTCAGAGGATGGTTTAGATGACTGACGTTAACTAAATTGACAAAAGCATCTGGAGGTTGGTAATTACATTTAACTAGAATAATCGAAATTTAATGTCTAATAAAGGTGATTAAAAAACCATTACTCCTAGGCAAAATATATTACAATACCTGTCAGTTTCCTATAACGAGTTGGTATGTTATGGACAATGTATTTTTTTTAACTTTCATATATTTAATTTATGTTAAATACAAAATATAATAGTTTTCCTTTGGTCGCTATTTAACCAATTTTTTTCATAAAGAGTTGGTATGTTTCTCATAAAGAGTTGGTACAAAACATACTACAAAACCTGCCAATTTTCCATAAAGAGCTAGTATGTTATGGGCAAATTTTTTTTTTTAAACTTTTACATATTTAATATATGTTAAATACAAAACATACTAGTTTTTCTTTAAGCGGTATTTAATCAATTTTTTTCATAAAAAGCTGGTATATTTCCCATAAAGAGTTGGTACAAAACATACTACAAAACTTGCCAGTTTTCCATAACGAGCTGGTATGTTATGGGCAATTTTTTTTTTTTTTAACTTTCACATATTTAATTTATGTTAAATACAAAACATACTAATTTTCCTTTTGGCGCTATTTAACTAATTTTTTCCATAAAGAACTGGTATGTTTCCTATAATGAGCTGGTACAAAGCATACTATAAAACCTGTCAGTTTCTCATATAGAGTTGGTATGTTATGGGTAATTTCTTTTTTTTTTTTAACTTTCACATATTTAATTTATGTTAAATACAAAACATACTAGTTTTCTTTTGAGCTGTATTTAACCAATTTTTTTTCATAAAGAGCTGGTATATTTTCCAAAAAGAGCTGGTACAAAACATATTATAAAACCTGCCAGTTTCCCATAAAGAGCTGGTACATTATGGGCAATTTCTTTTTTTTTTTTTAAAAACTTTCACATATTTAATTTATGTTAAATACAAAATATACTAGTTTTCCTTTGGGTGCTATTTAACTAATTTTTTCCATAAAGAATTGGTATGTTTCCTATAAAGAACTGGTACAAAACATACTACAACTTTGATAATCATCTCTAGCTTTTTATTAACAAGCAATCTTGTACTAATATAGGGAGGAAGAGGGTATTCATGGAATACAAATGTCATCTCTATCATGATAGTAATATTTTAATCCTAATTGGACTGAATTGTTACCAAAATTTGAAAACAAGGGAGCTAGGTGAAATTTTTAAAATCTGGAGGGGTCTCAGTACAAGTGTCAGAAACCTCAGGGGAGGTTTGTGAAATTATCCCTTAGTATTAAGAGCAAATTATCCGGTTGGTCACTAAACTTTTATGATCGTTGAGTTTTGGTCACTCAACTATTAAAAGTTTGGTTTTGGCCACTAAAATGTATAAAGTTAAGACATGAGGCCATTCTGTTAGATTTAGCCGTTAAGTTCTCTGATCTGTCTGTCTACGCGATTTCCAAGACAAAAGAAAGGGTCAATTTAGGAATAATTTAGTCCAAGCACCGTACTACACCACTTTGTTAGGGATAATTTAGTAGTAGTTGCTACAACGACAACAACAAAGCAGTGAAAGGCAATGGATTGGTCTTCTAATTGAATTAATTTCAATAGAATTGGGCAGTAGCGATGTGTCACAGGGTCGGCTGCTGAGTCATTATCACCACCTAATTTTCAACCATAACCTACACAGCAAGTGCAGATGAACCACCGGCACTCCAAAAACCAAAAACAAAAAAAAAAAAGGAAGAAGAGGGACGATCGATAATAGTGAGATATCCAGTTTTCAATCTACTATCTATGCTAGCCCAAACTTAATTATTAAGGAACAAAAAAAAAAGGAGCAAGATCGGCGAATTTGTTCATGAGCAAGATTCATGAATTTGTTCATGGACTGCTTATCCATTTACGCCCTTACCACCCACCTCTCCCGGATCCTCTTCGGCAACCGCCCGTTTCATCTGAAGTCCCAGCTCCCAAACGAGGACCTCGATTCACTCATGTCCGTCACCACTGATGACGACCTCCAGAATATGCTGGAAGAGCACGACTGCATCTCCGCCGTTACGTCCCCTACACCATCCTGCATCAGATTATTTCTCTTCCCCATAAAGCCAGAGTCTTCAAGTTCAACGCTTCTTGATCCGAAAGCTGACTCGTGGTTTTCTGATGCTCTAAATAACACGAAGATTGTTCAGAGGGGTCAGTCTGCTGATGCTGCTGGTTTGGGTCAGGGACTAATGGGTTTGGATATTTTGGGTAGATCGGATTGTAATGTAGCCTTGGAGAATCCAGCTAAAAGCATGAGTAATAATGATGCTGAGGCTAAGGAAATCAGTGGGGCTGTGCCGGAATCGTTGGTATTAGAGAGTAGCTCGTCCTTTGGGTCAACTAGTTCTTTAGTTTTAATGTCAAATGAAGGCCAGCTGTTGGGTCCATTGTGAGGATGAGAGCTTCAGTTTGTTCGAGAGGAAGCTCAGAGTTCCTAAACTTTTTGTTTTTCAAGAGGTGCAAGTGCTATTTTCAACTTCCCATATTGACCCTTTCTTTTGTCTTGAAAATCGCGCGGACAGACAGATCAGAGAACTTAACGGCTAAATCTAACAGAATGGCCTCGTGTCTTAACTTTATACATTTTAGTGGCTAAAATGGGACTTTTAATAGTTGAGTGACCAAAACTCAACGATCGTAAAAGTTTAGTGGCCAACCAGATAATTTACTCTAGTATTAATTATGTCAAAAAGATCATCATTGTGTCTAGAAACATAGTTGAGTTTGTTTAGAAGTTTGCAATGTTATTTGTTTCCATTTTAGTTTAAACTTTTGTAGTGTATAAATATGCATATCATTAGGGCTATTGTCGCTATCAAACTATTATTTTATAAAAATAAACTCGCTTCTGTCTCTGGAAGTGTTTGGAGCCCAAATAGCGTACGCAGCCCAAATTTCAATTATTACTGCCCTGGTTAGCCTGCACTTTACTTTTACTCCACTTATTATTACTATTACGACCATTCGGGTGCCCACTGTGGAGCCCCCTCTTAAACGACTTCGCATTGCTAATATTCTCCTAGTAAGTAGCTGACGACATCTCCATTGCCCCGAACAACTTCTCCGGCAACTTATCTTCTGAATGTGCCTCCACCAAAAACCCCATGTCAATCGTGACTGCCGTGACGTACCCCAATGCCAAGTACAAAATCGCGCTCACGATCGCTGAGCTTCCGGTATCCACGTCGTTTTGGAGGTAATTATCACTGACAAAATAATTGCACTTGAGCACTTTTCCCAGTAAACAGGCGGCGTAATTCCCGACGGCGGCTTTTCACAATCCACAGCCCCTTGACTATCCGATTCAAGATCTTCAACAGGCTGTTCCGGAAGTTATCGTCGCCGTGGACGAATCGGTAGAGGAGAGAGCCCGGTTGGAGGCCTTCGTCTTCCTTAGTGGCGAAGTAAAATACTGCGCTGTGGTGGGTCCCTTCCGGGGACTTGGAGATTGACAACTACGAGGAAAGTTTTCAGACTCTTTCCTTGAAGATTGGAGCCTGGAGGATTTGAGTAAGTTCATGACTGGTTATCGGGTTCGGGCGAGGACATGGTCCAGCTTGGCGTTGGATCGGAGCCAATCGACGCTGGCAGGTTGGAGAAGCCAGGGGCCGAAGGGTACTTTTGTCCTTTTAGTCAAGTAGCTGTGTCCACGGAGAGAGAATAAATCACCTAGAGGTGAAGCCCAGCTGTTGGATCCAGTGTGGAGATATACGTGTTTTAAGGATCCGCCGTTGATGGCTTCTTGTGCGGCGGCAACGGTGGTGGAGCTCTAATGACTGTGTTGGTGATAATGGTGCTTTTGCTTCTCCTTTGCACAGGAGATTATTTAAAATATTTATTTGAAATAATTATAATAATTTTATATGATGTAAAAAGAAGATAAAAAAGTATATTGAAATTTATGCTTACAATTAAAACAAATTATTTTTTTTCAAATCATTCCTCTCCAAACAACTTCGAGCACTCCTAAATGGAATTTCAAAGTTTTCTTGAGCAAGAAATGAGAAACATTATTGTTGCCTCCTCTTCTTCTTCTGCTTCCACTCCTAAATGAACTTTTGATGTTTTCTTGAGCTTTAGGGGTGAAGATGTCCGAAAGAGCTTTGTCGACCTCCTCTACAGTGCTCTGCAACAAAAGGGAATTTACACCTTCAAAGACAATGAAAAGCTTGAAAGAGGAAGACCCATTTCACCTGCATTATGCCAAGCTATTAGAGAGTCAAGAATTGCAGTTACCATTTTCTCAGAAAGCTATGCTACTTCTTCATGGTGTCTGGATGAGCTTGCAGAGATGGTATTTTACTATGTGGATCCATCTGTACCGATAAAAAAAGAAAGGTAGTTTTGGTAAAGCTTTTGTTAGACATGAAGATGAAGCAGAGGACAAGGAAAGGGTTCAAAAGTGGAGGGCAACTCTTGCTGAAGCTTCTTCTATCTCTGGCAGGGATGTTCCCAAAACTGCCAATGGGTAAAGTCACTAGCTTTGTTCTTCAAAAATTTGAACTAGCATCCCTTCTTTTTAGGCCAGTGGTTGGCTATTTGGTTATGATTTTTTAATTGTAATAAGGCGTTAGATTTTGTTTTTTGTTTGGTATGTTTTTCCTCTAGGACATCGATCCTTTTGTTGGCGAACTTTTTCTGGTCCACTCCTCTCTCAATTTGGTGGTTTTAGGTGAAGTGTTAATGATCTTGGCTAAAAGAAATTAGATCTGAGTTTGACTTGACCAATCCCATGATTCTGATCCACAAATCAAGCACCGCAGACTATATATATATATATATATATATATATATATATATATATATATATATATATACACACACACACTTTTTTCCTCCAAGGATTCAATTTTCTCAGTGTGGTTGGGAAAGCGGAGAAAAAAAAAAGGTTATGAACCAGCCGGCTAATTTCTTAGAATATACGTAAAAAAAAACAAAAACATCCGCCAAATGAAGCTCTGACCAGATGTAGTTCTCAAACTATACCCTGAAATTTCCCTGCCCACCAGATGCTGTCAGCCAGTCAGAAAGAGCTGCACAAATTTCAGTGCCAGTCAGAATTTTGTAGGCCGTTGCCCTGCACAATCAGCACGGCAACGGCCGACACTCTCCAGATATGGTAGCAGTTGTGCAGGCCATTGCCATGCACAGTCAGCACAGCAGCGACTGACTTTGGCAAAAAAAAAAAAAGTGTTTTTACGGAAATTGGTTTTTAAAGTTAGGGTTAAGGATTTTTGGGTTAGGGTTTTTGCGTTAAGATTTTAGAGTTAGGGTTTTAGGGTTTAGGATTTTAGGGTTTTAGGGTTAGGGTTTAGTGTTTTAGGGTTTAGTATTTCAAATTAACAATAGGGCCAACGCTAATTTTTGTCTAGTTTTATCTGTCAATAAGTAAACCATTATCAAATTACAACTAGGGATTTTCCTTTCTTTTGTTTTGTGTATACTTGTTTAGTTTTTAAATTTAATTACTTTAGTTTTGAGTTGGACTTACTCGTATATTTCATTTGGGCTTACATTCATTGTATTAGACTCACGTAGGTAATTTCTGTTTGGATCAGATGCCTCAGCCAAATGTCCAAATTTGTTATGGAACTCGGTTGGATTAAAGAATATAGACCAAGCTTTTGTTTTTATCTTTCCTTTGTATTTCTTTTAATATGTAATTTTAGATATTTTATGCCGCTTGAGGCATTCTTTAATTTTTCAAAAATTTGATTGTGTTCTTATGTTCACTGATTTTCATCTAAGTCCATAAAATAATTTGTCCCCTAACTTTTGCATAATTATGCCAGGGCCTCAACATTTGCAAAAAATGGATATAATTTCTCATTTTTGGAGTCCTGGCCTTTCTTTATGATTTTAATGTGTATTTTGGTGAATTAATTCTAACTTTTCAAGTATAATTAGCGGTTGAAGTAAATTTATTATAATTTAACAACTTTAGAAACTAGTATGAATAATCTTTTGTTTGTAGATTTGTAAATCACTTTGGTAGTCAAATTAGCCTAAATTTGAGTAGCAAATGAATAAAAGGTTAGTAAAAAAAAAGTGTTTTTTGCGAGAATTTGCATTTGGGCCCTTAGATTTTAAAATTTATATGTTTACCCACAATTTTTTATTTTTTAACTTTAGCCCCCCATGAATCTTTGTTGCCTTTTAGTTTAAGAAACTAAGGCTACTCAAAATCAATAATGCTTGTGTTTCGCGCTACCCAAATTGCATACCGAATGAGATATAGTGGCTTAACCAGTTTGGATACCCTTCAAAATCCCTTCCAGAGAGTTTCCAACCTGAAAAACTTGTAGGACTCAATCTACAGTATAGCCACGTCATTCAATTATGGAAGGGGATTTATTGTTGTTTCCTAATGAATCTTGCTTGAAGCCATATGATGTCTTTTCTTTTTCCCTTTTTCCTGCCATTTCTTCATTTTGCCAAAAACCTTCTGACAGTTGCTGGACAAATTGAAATACATCAACCTTAGCTATTCCCAGAAGTTAATAAGGACCCCAGATTTCACAGGGATACCTAATCTTGAGAGATTGATCCTTGAAGATTGTTCAAGTCTTACTGAGATACATCCTTCAGCTGGCTATCTGAAAAGGCTCCAACTATTCAATCTGAGGAACTGCACAAGTCTTAGGAGCCTTCCAAAACAAATTATCTTAGAAAGTCTCGAAGTAATGATTCTCTCAGGATGTTCAAAAGTTGGGGAATTTCCAAAAATCTTAGGTGCTATGGATCATTGAAAAGCTGTGTATTTGGAAGCTACTGCCATAAAAGAACTACCACCATCAATTGAGCACCTTACAAGCCTTGTTTTGTTGAATGTAAGCTACTGTAAAAGTCTCACAAGTCTGCCAAGTAGCCTTTGCAGATTGAAATGTCTTAAAGTTCTTATTCTTTCTGGCTGCTCAAAACTTGACGAGTTACCAGAAGAGCTAGGGCATGTACTAAGCTTAGAAGAGCTTTATGTTGATGAAACTGCCATCTCCAAGCCACCATCCTCTATCGTACTTTTGAAAAACCTAAAAACTTTATCTTTCAGAGGATGTAGAGCAATGGCATCTCATACATGGAGAGCATTCTCATATTCTTGGTTGATAGGTCAAAAACGTCAAGATTCAACGGGCTTGATTCTTCCATCTGTTTTAGGATTCAATTGCCTAGCAAAACTAGATCTGAGTGATTGCAATCTGTTAGACGGATGATTCCCTAGCGATTTGGGGAGCTTATGCTCCCTGATAGAATTAAATCTTGGCAAAAACAACTTTATCAGTATTTGTGCCGCAAGTATCAAAAGCCTCAGTCACCTTCAAATCCTTGAATTAGTTGGATGCAAGAGACTTGAGATGCTTCCAGAACTTCCACCGAGTATAGAGGTATTATACGC